GAGTCAAAGTAAGAGCTACTTTGGGGTAAAAGAAGTTGGAAGAATACCGGGTTTTTTTGCAATTTATATTTTATTTATATTTGAATTTATATCCCGCCCTACCCCGAAGGCTCAGGGCGGCTAACAAGGGTACCGTGTGCCGAGGTTAAAACAGTAAACACATAGTTTAAAAACAATAAATTACTAACTAACTCACTTCCTCAGTAATAATGCTGGATCCAGAATAACCTCTAGAGTCATAACTGAGTTGGCAAGTGTCAGATGTACCCCATCAAAAGTGGGTAGCACAATGTCCTTCAAGACCTCAGCCTTCTGAAATAGAAAGTTACAAAGAATATTTTCTTAGAGCTCACATGTAGATGTTTATCATTGAATTTGTGCCTTTTTTTTACTCAAATGTATTCAACTGCAGTTGTAGAATTTGAGAAAGTAGAAGTAGGATGGTGCCATGTATTAAAAATAGTACCCTTTTAAAATATGTTTTAAATATATATTTGCACATATTCTCTGCCCCTCCTATCTATATATCTAATAGTGAACTTGCCTGATATTTTCAGCGGGACGGGGAGGGTAACTGCCAGCTTGAAACAATTGGGCTGGTTATTTTTTCTTTCTCCTACTATTGTTGTTTGTGGCCTAGGTGTAGCTGGGAGCATGAGCCAAAGGAGTCTTTGCCCTTGACCCTTACCTGTGGCCGTGGCCAGTCAGACTGACCTGGAGGACATCAGCCCAGGATATACTGTGTATTATTTTTCACTTATTTTTTATATTGTGTTTGTAAAAAAAATAACGTGTATCTCTGTAAGCTGTTTAGGTCCTCATGAGGAAGAAAAGTGGGATAAAATATATTACACAAATAAATTAATGAATATATTACACAAATAAATAGGGATGGGCACAAACTGGCTTACCAACTAAAAAGGTAAAGGTTTCCTTGCTCGAAAGCCAGTCGAATACGACTCTAGGGTTGCAGTGCTCATCTCAGTTTCAAAGACGAAGAGCCAGCGCTGGCCGAAGACATTTCCGTGGTCATGTGGCCGGCATGACTAAACACCAAGGCACACGGAAGGCTGTTACCTTCCCACTGAAGTGGTACCTATTTATCTACTTGCAATTTCTTGCTTTCGAACTGCTAGGATGGCAGGAGCTGGAACTAGAGACGGGAGCTCACTCTGTCATGCGGCACACTCGGGTCTCGAACTGCTAAACTACCGACCTTCCACAGCCTGCAGTTCAGCGTCTTAACCACTTGAGCCACCGCAGCTAAAGTTCATCACAAATTTTGGACTGCTTGGTGTTCATGAACTCTGTGAACTAAAGAACCACAACAAACTATCACAAATTTTGGCACAATTTCTGGTGGCTCATGATGGTTCATGAAGAGCAGAAAGCAGGGGTTTCGCTCCCCCTGCCCCACTTCAAAGCAGCCAGCAGCAAAACCGGATGGTTAAATGGCTCCCAGCCATTTAAACCCTTTCGATCTGCTCCCCTTGGCTTCGAGTGGGGGAACAGAACTATTTAAACCCCTGCTTTCTGCTTCCAGCCACTTTCGCGAGTAGAAAGCAGGGGTTTAAACTTTAAATGGCTCACAAACCTATACAAATGGTTTGGTTCATGAACCGGTGTTGCCCTGCAAGGCACTTAATGTGCTCTTATGAACTATAACTCATAAGTTATAATAATGGACTGTGCAAATATATGCTTGAGGGACTGTACTGCATGGTGACCCAATATGATGCCAGTTGAGACTGCACACCTGAGAGAAGAAAACCTTCCTTTTGCGTTGCTGTTCCAGTGGTTCTTCGAGGTTACCTGCCCTCTTACCTGTTGTGAGATGGACCAGTTCCTTAGCTTGCATAAAGCCATGCCATGCCCAGACAAAGAGCTCCAAATGCCATTAGGAGTTCCATCTGATACACGCAGGCAACCCCTTTCCCCCTCCTCCAGCTACCTGAAATTCTGCACATAATCAAGAGTAATAGCATGCCGTCGCCAGGATGTGACGCTACGAGTCGCTCTGGCAACGGGGCTGTTTGGAGTCCCGTTGCCAGAGCGACGCATAGCGTCACATCCTGGCAACGGCGGTGCAACACGTATCGCTGTCCCCCGAGGCAGGGATCATGTGAAGACGTGCGGATCCCCCGCCGTGGCTTGGCAGCCCTAGTCCGCACACTTAACCACTACACCAAACTGGCTCTCGTGTATTTAGTTAGGATTTTTGGCTCCAATATGCATCCCTTTGCACTTGGCCACATTGATCCCCATTTGCCACGTTGACACGTACTTGCCCATCCTCAACAGATCCCTTTGGAGTGCCTCACAATCCTTCCTGGTTCTCACCACCCTGAACAACTTCGTGTCATCCGCAAATTTAGCCACTTCACTGCTTACTCCCACCTCCAAATTATTAATGAACAAGTTAAAAAGCATCGGACTCAGTACTGAGCCCTGTGGTACCCCACTGCTTACCACCTTCCACTGAGAAAATTGCCCATTTATACTCGCACTCTGTTTCCTATTAATTAGCCAGGTTTTGATTCACAAGAGGACTTGTCCTTTTATCCCGTGACTATTGAGCTTACTTAGGAGCCTTTGATGAGGAACTTTATCAAAAATTTTCTGGAAGTCATGGTAAACAACATCTATTGGGTCCCCCTTGTCCACATGTTTGTTCACTCCCTCAAAGAACACTAATAGGTTAGTGAGACAAGATCTTGCTTCCTGGCCAGGTTGCAGGAGACATAGGGAAGACTTTCTTTCCTTCCACTGGCTGAGGCTCCTCCCTAAAATGAGGGAGGGAATAAGGAAGAGCTTGCTTTGCTGGGCTGCCTCATTCCCATGGGAGAAATACCAAGTACCTTTAAGACCAACAAAGTTTTGTTCAAGATATGAGTTTCTGTGTGCCTTGCTACAGTGTGCGTGTTTTGTTGAGGTCTTTATGCCAGGGCTCTCCTGGGTGCAACTGGGTTCCCTCCCCCTTTTCACTGTATTCATGCCCTCATGATCCAGTCTTTCTCAGTAAGAAAGCAATGTGAACTATTTTAGAGGAGGACTAACAAGAAGCCAGTGAGGTGGATTAGGCTGAGAGCGTGCGTCCAGACCAAGTTCACCCAGCATATTTCCTTTGTAGGAAGTTGTAGTTATTTCTCTGGGGAAGACTATAGTTTTGTAGACAAACACATGGCCCTCACTCTGTGTCAGGATGCCTTCTCATGTTCTTGACCGGCGCATGAAGCAACTTATGTACAAAAGGCTGCAATGCCCAGCCATTTCCTGTTTTCTCCTGGGTTCTAGGCTCAGAACACTGAGCATGAGATTTCTGTAATGAATGTCAATAAATCAAAAGTAGGTTTGCAGTTTACAGATACACAGCTGAACAGCATACTACAGCACAGACATTTTGAGAGCGAGAGGTGTCAGTTATCAGAGACTGTTAAATAGACAAAATATTGCAAGGGTGCTAGTGTGCTAGTGTTTTAAGCATGTTTTATTTAAAGTTCAAAAAAACCACTTTAATTGTGTTTGTCCTTCATAAGTTTATATCTCCGCCACCTGGCATTACATTTTATGACACACATGGCCCGGTCCAACAAAGTCTCATTTATGTCAGATCCAGCCCTCATAACAAATAAGTTTGACATCCCTGGTTTATGCATTACTTATCAACTGCTGAAAACAAATTCCCAATTTTTTTCCTAGCAGTCCACTCTCTCACCTACAGTTTGTATCTCAATGTTAGAGTTGTTTTCATCCTTAAATACTTTTGTCAAAATCTCAAAAATTAGTATATTAGTACAAAAATTAGCAGGCCTTTGCTGGATAAGCAGGTGGCAGCTGTAGCCAGGAGTGTGTTTTACCAATTTTGACTGGTTAGCCAACTGAGACCTTTACTGGGCAGAAAAGATCTGGTTGCTGTGGTGCATGCCCCGGCTACATCTATTATAGATTATTGCAATGCGCTCTCGGCAGCACTGCCCTTGATAAATGTTTGGAAACTTCAGTTGGTACAGAATGCTGCAGCCAGGATACCAACTGGAGTGGGTGGTTGAAACAGTATAACTCATCTTGGCCCATCTACACTGGCTCCCAATTTGTTTCCAGGCACAATGCAAGATACAGGTTTTTACCTAGAAAGCCTTATCTGATTTGGGACAAACATACCTGAAAGGCCTTTATGAACCTGCCCAACCACTAAATTCACAAGAAGCTGCCCAATACTGAATCAGATCCATTGGGGTAAGCATTGTCTATTCAGACTGGCAGCAGCTCTTCAGGGTCTCGGGTAGAGGTCTTTCACATCACCTGCTTCCTGATTCTTTTTACTGGAGAGGATTGGGATTGAACTCCAGACCTTCTGCACGCAAAATTTATTCCACTACACTACAGCCCCTCCCTGAAAGTCATCTTCAGAGGCCCTGATTTTTGTAAAATAATAAATACATGGTAAGAAAGTTCACTTCTTGAGAAAAACATCCAATAATGTCTAATAAATTAGGTGATAAGTGAGATCCACTGTCCAGTTGGTACATTTTCAGTACAGGCCAGCAATTTGCAGGTTTTACTGTTAGGAAAACTTGGAATGGGACGTCACTAAGTTTACCTAAAATGATATGGCACACTCGCCACATATAGTTGATAAAAACTTGGGCACAATAATGCAGAATGTTGCAATTTCTCAACTTTAAAAATTATATATATAATTTTACATACAAATGTATACTGCCGTTGCATGACTTGGAAGTGTATTTCTTCAAAATAAAGACATCGAATACAATACCAGAGAAGGCTGACAACGCAGGGAGGGGAGAGGGAATAAACTTTCTACTGTAAGGATAGCGTGCACATCCCCGGAATGGCGGACAACGTAAAACGAGAGGAAGCATACAAAATAATTGGAAGACGGTAGGTCTAGACGCATGCGTGGAACATCTCATAGCCCCACCTTTTGGCTGTGATTGGTCGCTGGGGTTCGATCGTTCTAGAGAGCGTGGGGTGGTGGACGTTTCCGGCGCGGCGCTGTGACGTGTGCTCTGGGTGCCGAGGTGTCCGGCGGTCGGCCGGGTAAGGCAGATTGTGGGAGATGGCGGAGTATCTGGCCTCCATCTTCGGTACCGAGAAAGACAAGTGAGTGGCGGTGTCCCCCCCCCCCCCCCTTTTCCTGGGTGCCCCCCCCCCCCCGTTTTCCGAGGGCCGATCTTGTTCCACATAAGTGCTGGTGGGGGGCGGGGGAGGAGAGGATAGTGAGGCCTCCGACGGTATCGTGGTAGGCTCAGGCATAACAATAGTTGCCCACGAGGAGCCTTTCCGCTCTTGCAGAAACACACACGATCGCGCGCGCACGAATAAGCGGGCGGGGAGGGGCGAGTTTGCTTCCGTCCTGCCCGTAAAACCCTCAAGCGCGCGCGCTCGAGCCTTTCGGCCCTTGTTTGCGGCGGCGGTGCTCCCGGTGGCTCCCTCGTGCGAACTTCAGCGGCGCTCCCGGGAAGAACTTGCTGGCGCACGCGCCTACACCCTCCCCCACCCCTCCGATCTGAAAAAAAAAATCGCGCTGTGGGGAGCAGTCACAACGGGCGCGCGCGCTCCCTTCTGGAGCGGAAAGAAAAAAAGCAGTAATGGCGGGCTGCCGGCAGCGACGAGTTCCGCTTCTCCCCCCACCATCTGCTCGGTTGCGGCGGGAAAAAATGCTTGCCCAGCAGGCGATTCTCTCCTTTCTCTTTGCCTCTTATCTAATCTCTTGCCCACTCCCGCAATAACGTTGGGTTTTCTCTCTCTTTTCTCTACACATTCCATTAAATGCGTTTTTTTGGCCATCAAGTCGCAGCTGACTTACGGCAACCACATGGGGTTTTCATTCAAAGCAAGAGTCGTTGAGATGTGGGTTGTCATTGCCTCATAGACTTCAAGCACTAACTAGGGCTGACCTTGTTTAGCTTCCAGAATTTGCTGAGGTTAGACTAGCATGGACTATCCAGATCAGGGCTCATTGGAGATTACTCTCAGGAAAATGTCCATACGATTTCCCTGCTAGGCTTAGTGTAATTGAGACTTGTTGATCACACTAGGAGCTGATGATGTTGTGTCGAGCAAATCTAAATATGCATTTATATATAAGAATGCAGATGGCATTCTATACAAGCATTGTTTTAATGCCTTATTTTTATATTGATAATTTATTATTTGATTTGTAAGCTGCCATGAGCAAGACTGTAAAGAGGTGGCATAGAAATTTCCTAAATAAATAAATTCTTATTCATGTCTGGCAATGTGTGGATACATATGTGTGTCCAGGCCCAAGTGGAAGAAGATGGAAAGAATGTCCTACATATTGATAGGGTTGCCAGTCTCCAGGTGGGAGTGGGAATCCCCTGATTTCATGGGGTCCTGCCTGCCGCAGGCCAGTAGGGGGAACCACCACCCCCAACAGCTATGACCCCCATGATGTCCCTGACATGATGGCATCATGAGGAAGTGACATCATGCCAGGGGCATTGCACAACAATGTTCTGGTTTTGAGGCAAAACTGGTGTGAGCCCAATTTTGCCATAGACTTTGCCCAGTGTAAGCTTCTAATAGAAATGGGCCTTTTTGATGTGGCTTACAATTCTGAGTTGTCTTATATGTAAGCTGAACTGTAAGACCTAGCAAATGCTGGTTATCCCATATTTAAAATATGGTGGCATTTCTAGGCTTACAAGTAGGGTAGAAGTATGCTAAAGGGCCCTTAAGCAGTTGCAGTTTAAAAGCTCTGTGTTGCATCCTCTAAATCCTGAAAGTTGATTGGTTGCATCCTAGAGGAAGCTTTCCTCAGTCACTTTCCACTAGAAGATGTCTTTCGCCTTTGAAAGAAGGCTTAGCAAGAAGGAGTAATAGGATCCAACCCCAAACCTTCTCAATGATCAGAGAAACAAGTGCTGTATTCTCTTGTTAAATTTAACTTCTTTTTAAATGGAAAGA